CTTCAATCACCGCGCAACCTGGTGACCTGATCCCAGGAGGAGAATTGAACGTCTCCCGTTAGTTGGTATCACACTAGGAGAACAAAAACGTTGGCTTGAATTCTGGCGCTCTCGCTATTCCCTGAAGTTTTCTCTCCCCTCTCCTCTTTGGTTCATTCCACCTAGTAAAACCATCCAACTGCTTCTACTGCTCTGAATGCTACTCAAATGCGTGGCGCACTATAACTTGGTTCATCTACAGTAACCATTTTATCCTGTGACATTACAAATGGAAAGAATCCTGTAAGAAAAGGATGTGCTCATAGAGAACGCGATAGAGGATCCACGGGGCCCGGGTCGCAGATCAGGTATGGTTGATCGATTCCGTGTTGTTTGGATCCTTTCACTGGAACCCGTCGAATAGCCGATGCAACACACTCCCACGGTCGTAGAGAGCGTTCGTCTGTTTCCAAAAGGAGGATAGCCGGGTTCTTTGGCCGAGCGGACCAGCGCTTTTCTTCGGCCGATTATCGCTTTGATCGGCCGAGGATTGAGCATGGTATACGATGACCTCGAGCCGGTGGTGATGGTGGCCGAGGCCACACCTCCTCCGACCGTCCAACCGGCCCACACCATTCACTCCGATGCTATATCGATTTTCCTAATCACCACTTCTGTACAGTTTATGGGTTCGTTCGGTCGCTTATGAGTTTTCACATGAATTCCCCTTCTTGACAACCGTGCAATAGACCCGTTACGGGTCGAAATTTCCCGGTGTTTGTTCGATTTTCAAGGGCCATTCGCCGTTCGCGACTGCCCTTACCTCTTATGGAACGCGGCCAATTTGTGTGCTCCTGTGGTCACTCGAATCGATATTTCGTAAATTAATTACGCATTGGCAGAGAGGTAATTGGCGAGAGACGAAAGAGTGAGTGAAAGTGAATTGAGGGTGGATGAAAGCCGCATGTCGACACTTCGTTCGTAGGCGACGTCTCTCCCTAGGCAATCATTAGTTCTGCGAGTTTTAATCACCTACGAAGCCGCTTGCCCGTCCCCCGCTTTCCCTACCCACCACTGTGTTTCCTTTCTTGGCAAGACCTGAATTTCGAGACGAAGTCATATTGGGTGTCATTTCCCCATACCAGTCCGTGAAACCTTTTTTGCAGCCCGTTCGTGTTGCCCTTGTAGGTAATCCCATGGGAAAACTTCATTCAGTCGACAAATGTGTACCGCCTCTCTCTATGAGTTCCGTCGTTTATTTCCGCTCCTTGTCACTCACATACATCAGCCATGTTTCCTTTACTATGAACATATACTCCCTTTCAAAAAACGAGAAAGTGTCGGGTGCAGACCATACACCACAAGTGACGACGGCCTCCAAGTAAATCTGGTTAGTAGTGGTTCATAGTGATAGCTGATTTTTGGTAAATGATAGTTAATTAGTGACAACTGATAGAATACAACTGCAACAGGCTAATCATTTCATTGGCAGAAAACAACATTTTGCATTTTGTGGAGCCGCCGTCGTCACTTGTGGTGTATGGTCTGCACCCGACGCTCTTCTCGTTTTTTTTTTGGAAAATGTTGTGTATAAACGACCGGAAATTATTCATACTAACGCCCAAAAATTCGGCCACCTTCCGACTCGCCGGTTCCCATTTCCTTGCTCGAGATCACGCCTGTCGGCAAGATAGTAGGATTTTTGGGAGGGGTTTTATTCCTTTTTTCTTCGCATCTCTGCACTCGTTTCCGGAGTTGATGTGTACACATTCGCGGTGTGAGGCTAACCCCTCACTAATTGGTCCTAAATCCGGTAACAAATTTGGCGCAGCCGATTTCCTGCAAGCGTTGTGCACTTTTCAGTCGCGGCCTTTCAACTGCCTACTCAACAGCATTCCTTATAAATCGTCAGCGACTTGCTAAGCAGTTTCCGGTACAATCGCACAGGCAAGAACGTTCTTGCACGGGACTGTAAAGAGCATTCTCTCACAGTCATCGAATTGTGATAGTTGTCCGAAATACGAGCTAAAAATCAAGCTTCTCCGCTGTCTTTTGTTGAGTTGTCCAGGAATTCAAAATGTGTGACAGTTTTCGGTTTGATTTGTGATCTTGTGACTCATCGTGCGTGATGTCAGAGAGATAGACAAAGCCAGGAGCCTCTGTTATCTACTGATGGTCGACGATTATGTAAATGATGTGCTAAGAGAGCCATTCTAATGACACGGACATCAATCTTGTCGTAATCGTTCAGAATTTGCTCGTGGACAAAGTGCAATCTGCAATTGCAGACGTCTTGACACCATCCGTTTTCTTCACATTTTTTTCTTCGATTTTTTCACCTTGGCCTTCTACAGTATCCAGTAATGCTCCAGGGTTCCAAAGTGCTCTTGCATAAATTTAAGTCGGTCGGATCTCGTCCGGAGAGAATTTTAGTCGCCTATTTTTGTTTGAGTATTACTTGACTTCATGCTTTCTTGCCGTGGTTTTTTTCTTTTTTCAGTGACCTATGATCCCGCTTCTTCGATCTTTTACTTGAAAAAAATCGATGCGCGCGGATTTTCACTCTGTGGGAATATCTCATTAGTGGGAATCTGATCGCCTATCATGAGCTATTCTCATACAAATTGCTCACTTACGTGAATGTTGGAACTTCCATTACACTCGCACTCTTTGGCAATTACTTTTCACGATTGGCTTTCATTCGAGTTTTTACCACGTTGACGACAGCCCCTTGTGCGGGTACCCCGCACCTTTTGTTTATTTTCTTCACAGTCGTCATAACTTCTTCAATAATTACACTATTGGTAACTGATGCACAGTTTTCAGATATAAGTAGCGGATTGGCACAAAGGTCTTGAAAATCGGGTGAAAATTCTGACGCGCATGCGCGTCATGCTGTCGTCAAGGTGTTGATAGATTCGATGTAATACATTAGCATTTCATCGATGCAAAGAAAGCTTTGCAAAGCTCTTCTTTGATCCCCAATTTCTCGCTAGGTTGTGTATCGGCTCTTACCATGGCATTCGTTCAACTTAAACGTGAAGCGCGAAAGAAAAGTCTTACAGAATCCGGTTAGATTTTGGCTGCAATTATTCATTTTCTATACATATTGGGGTCTCATCCGGTAAGAGGGGGCATTGCGGTGCACGGTCTGCTCTAATGCCAATTTGGCTCAAGGAGTCCTTTAAAGTTACGAGCTGCTATCAGCTTTTTTCCTATGTTATTTCTTCAGGTGTTTTGTGTAATGTATGTATTCTTGTACTAGATGACATTAACGTCTACGAAAGTAATATTCACCTAGTTCAGCAGGTCAGGACTAAGGAGGAGGGGAAGTTCCCCGGGGGAAAGCCAAGATTGCTCACGGATCCGGGGACTCCTTCCCTTCTAGGGCTTAGTCCTGAACAACAACAATCTACAATAAAATAATGTGCTTTCCATGGTTTGAAATGCTCTAGATCGCTATGCCCCCCCCCCTTACTGGATGAGACCCCAATGTTATTTATTGCCATTCTTGCTCACTTCTGATTCCTTTGGATTAGCAAGTTCGTAAAACAAACAGATTCATTTCGTTTTTGGTCAACGTCTGTTTTGGACACGCGGCATATTTTCGCCATGGGTGCGCTCGAACCGTTGAGCTTGAAAGCTTTCATTTACTCAGAGCCAGTTCGACCTGGACCCATCCCCACCTACCCTAGACTGGTGTACGTTTCTCCTGGCTCCGAGGCACCCTAGCTTTTGGGCACCTAACTGGAATAGATCCCGGGAACCTTTTGGCGTTGCATTCCCAAAATGTTCACAACACTCCTTCGAAACGATATGGGTGTCACAAACGATACATTAAGATGGATCAAGGATCGAGGATGTTTTGAAAAAAAAAAAACGCTTGTGTTTGAGCTCTTCTTCATTTCGTCTTTGGCCTTGAGTATCCAATATCCGTCTTTTTCTGGGTTTATTTGCTGACGTTCCAGTGGCGTTCTGCGTTGTTTTTCTCGTGGACTTTTTGCGCGCTTGTGGCGAGAATTTTTTCACGAGCTGGCTCGCTCGCTCTCTTTTGTCAATCCACACTGCAGTGCTGCGATTATTCGTGTTTTTCGTGTGATAAGTGGCTCTAAGTTGATTTGTGTTGGTGATGAGCTACGGCCCGACTGACGGGATCTATTTAGCCAGAGCATCATTTGTTGACTCGTCGTCCCTCGAGACCGTTTTCCTTTGGCGCCCCGCGCGTCCTCCAAAACTCATTGCGCGTTTTCGGAACAAATGTAGCATTGCTTTCGTACTTTCTCGTAGCCGTCTGTCGATATCATTACGTATAATATGCTACGATACATTTTTAACAGATGTGTCGTCCTTGATTTGAATGTGTTGCATACAATGGGTTTAATACCCCGACTTCTTCAATTTTTTGCGCTACTTAGCGCTTGGAGCGCTACAGCGACGTCACAAACACAAAAAGGTGAGGCTCAATGGGCTAATTCTTTGTTTTCTTCCCTGTGCGATACTGTAGGAGAGCTTACGGTATTTAGAAACTGATTCATGTATTTTGTACACATTGCTTTGTAAATTTTGATAGCTAATATATTATTTGGTAATTCGGCGCTTAACCGTTGGGACAATTTTGACCAGAGATTATTCCGAAGAACTGGAGGTACTGTTCATCACCACATTCCATTATAATGTGCGAGGCCTTCCACAGGTGACTTCTTATAAGTGTTACCGGGATATCGGGAATGTGTAAAAATCGAGCTCGAGCTTCACTGAAAGGTTTTGTTTTTCGTTACTAATGATAGAAAACTCTCAAACTTCACTCCATGGCTAGGTTTCTTATTGTTATTCCTTTGATATACCTTCTGGTTCTAACGTTACAGATTTGAATTTCTTTCCTAGAAGAAATAATTATGGGATCGCTGTGGCGTTGCCGTATGAAATCTGATAACGTTTTTCCATTAAACAGGAAAACAGCTTCTCAGCTTGTTTACTTTATTGATGCCATTTTCAAGTAATCCATTACCCTGCAACTTATTTATAAATACTCTGCAATATTTCGTATAGACTAGACTGCTGCTTACTTGCATTTTCGATGAGTACTACACATCGCAATTTGCTTTCGAATTTGCCTGGAAGTTTTGCGCGACTACATATCTCGTTGATGGAGCTCTGAAAATTGGTTTGATGTCATGCGTGTCCATTCGACTTCCTATCGATTCTATGCACATGCCACAGAGTGTCGCGGAAAGGTGCACACACGAGGAGGATGGCGCAACACCTTCGCCTTTTTTCCGCCGCTCGCGTCACTAAGCAATGGAACAAGAGAAAAAGAGGACGCATCAAAATGAAGATGAATGCGCCTTTTTGGATTCGGCCGCAGCAAACTTCATAACTAAACGAAGAAATGTCCGAAAGTTACTATTTCTCTGGTCTAAAGCATGAGCTGAAATAAATCTGCTGAGTTTTGGGTCTCATCCAGTAAGGGGGGGGGGCATTGTGATGCAACGTCAAGTGGCTGCCCTCACCCCCACCCCCCTAGACTGCCTTCACTCCCCCTGGCTCACGGGGTCCCGTACTTCGAGAAACCTGTGCGCCAGGGGGAGTGTAGGCAGTCTAGGGGGGTGGGGGGTGAGGGCAGCCACTTGATGCCCCCTTACTGGATGAGACCCGAGTTTTGTTCCGGAATTAGGTTCAAGAATTAGGCGCTTAACATGGATATACAGGAAAGGGTTAAAAATTATTTGCGGTTTTTGGTGAGAGCTTGTCATCCTCCATGGGTGTTTGCCAGATTTTTCTAACATTTGGAATTTCATATTATTGAAGTTCGTTATTTGGTTGCATTGTGAGTATTTGGGAATCTAATTCGCGTCACTACTTCGCTGGCGTTCAGGGGAGATTTTTTCCAACTTCCTTGCTATCTCTTGAATCAACAAGAACGTGCTGAATAGGTAGACCTCTAAAATATATTGAAATTTGGGGATCATCCATGTAAGGTGAGAAGTGTTTCGTACGAAAAAGCGAAATTTTCAGCAAAATCGCCTAGATTTTTGCCCCTCACTGTAAGTTTGATGCTGCGGTGCGGTTTACGGGTTACTCAAAAATTTTCTTCTGTGGGTCCTGCCGCCAGTTTGCTGGAGTACAGATGATTAGGAGAATGGCGTCCGCTCGGTCCAAATCCCAAGCAGGAAGGTGGGAGCACTAAAATGAGACTAAGCTTTGGAGCGGTAGGGGCTCTGGGGATGTGTTCTGGGCTCCCTAGGACAGAAAGTGGCTTTTCCGCTTTTCGCGCGCGGAACTTTTTTCGTTACGGTGAACCCGTGGGAACAGTCATGATTAGGAGTGGACCTGGGGTTCCACAACGAGAAAAGCTTCGCGCGTCGAAAAGTGGAAAAGTCGCTTTATGGCCTTGCGAACCACGCCTTGGGCCTTTCTAGGATGGCTGTTGAGCAATTATAGTGAAGCAAAAAGTTGGCAATGGGGAAATTTTTTTACGGTACACAGTAATATCTTTTCTTGGCGCACCGTCTTGGTGTGTTTGACGGCGTGTCTTTTGCTGTACGAAACAATAAACAATAAACAATAATAGGAAACAAGTGTAAACACATATTGATGTATTTCTGACTAACGATAAATCTGGGGTTTATCTTTCAGTGACCCACTGACTATCCAAAACAAAATTATTCATTGTAGTTATGGTATATGCTCCATTGAATATAGTTCATCATATGTTTTCTGAAATTAGTCTATACAAATTTCTTCCGGGGCTTATCAAAGGATATTGTGCTTTGGAGAGTTCCCCTCACACGTACCTGCACCTTTGCCATCCAGCAGAACTGGTCTCGTCTGCCCTTTGTTGATGACGTACTTTTTTGCGCATTGCGTGCCACAGGACTACTTACGTCGGCTTCCACCACCCACGATGCTCTTTATTGTGGGATGCTTATGGTCCACGTTCAAGCTGCGCTAAAGAGCGTGAAGTTTTGTGTAGTTAAGTGCAAAATTGAACTTTGTAAGGGAAGGTTAGGGGAACTGGAGAATCCGGGGATGTTGAAGCAGTTACCTTATCGCGGCTTAATTAATCTGCATGTGAACTTATCTTTCTGATGTTGTGTTTTTCAATGAGGAAAGGTCAAAAATTGATAATCGATTCGAATGCGTAGTAAGTTTCAGCTCTCAAACTGCAAAAAGAGGGAGAATTTCTTGCTAACCACACATGTGTGGTCATTGCCTTTAATTCCCCAACATTATATTTTATCAGTTGATATTTTATTTGAAAAGTCAGATAATTGGGTTTTATTTGTACATGCTATCAAAAATATCTATAATGTATACTATATAATTTTGACTTAGTGCTAACTTGCCCGTATACCCTTCTACATGTGCAGCTAAATTACGGTCACAGGTTAATTTTAATCCTATCGAGTGCGCAATAGAAAGAAACGTTAAATATCACTTATAACCTCTACTCATACGGGGATTTGTGAGGTCCTCACAAATTTTAAAAATTTGGTGATTTTGAAGAGTGATTTTACGCAGATCCTGGTTCTCTAGATCAGAAGTCCCTCTTCTTAACAAATTTGAATTGGCTCTCTCAAAATAAGAGTGTAGGATCTCACTGAGCGGGAGGGGAGGGATGTTAGTAAAGTGCAAGTCGCATTTTCGCTGTGAAATTGAGTAGTGCTGAAGAGGAGCATAGCTCTTCTTTTGAAATTATATGAGTCGCGGTTTTTTGTGAGGCGTTGAAGCTGATCGGCGAGGACGTCAGCTGTCGCGAAGAGCTTGTTGCTCGAAGTAGTTGTGGTGCTTAGTTTTTCAGCCTTGAGTAATGTTTTTCAAGAGAGTGGAGAGAGTGGACACTTCGGCAACTCTATTAATGAGCAGAAAGTGGTCTCCCACATTGTTCTCTTCTGCAAAACCGCGACTTCTGATTTTCGGGAACTTTATGATATAGGTGCAGGACCATTTTAGTGATGGCGCGTATAAGGTATCCACAAATAGGACGCGTTGACGGAGCAAAATGTCTGAAAATGGGTAGGATTGGTAAGGGAGTAGTTACGGTCTTATGGGGTTCGATGTTAAGAGGTATCTCGTAATATTCGAGCCAAATGTCGCTCACAAAGATGTGTTTCCTCTCATTCCGCTGTACCCTTTTTTGCCTGAATATCAACACGCTCTTTTTTGTAAGTGTAAGTCGCGCCCATCATACTAAGGGCGAATCGTTCTTATTGCTCCTGATCAATTAGTAAGGAGGTAACTAGTCGAAAAAATGGGTGCCTGTTCAGTATTATGGCAGCGACCTCTTCTCATTCAAAATGAAAAGTACAATTAACTGCCGAGTGCTGCTCAAAGGTGACGTGTAGAGGTGGTGCTAACTTAGTTGGGGGGACCACGCGGCGGCGCGGCGCTCTGTTCGTCTGCTGCTCCTCAAGGCTTAGTCCAAGGGGCAGTTACTATTTCGCCATCACGTGGCAGTTTCGAAATACGCGCCATCGGCGGACTAAGCCTTGGAGGAGCAGACGAACAGAGCGCCGCGCCGCCGCGTGGTCCCCCCCCCAACTAAGTTAGCACCGTAGAAGTTCCTATAATTTATTGGAGGCTCGGGATTTTTTGATATTGGGAGGGTCAATTCATGCCGGGAAGTGTGTCACTTTTGTAGTAGTGGATGACCATGACCGGAATAGATTTTTTTCTTTCTAAAGAGATTCTTGCAAAATAAGTACCTCTAAATTTTTATTTCAGTGCCATCTGCTCCTTTGAATTTCGATGTCGTACTCACTGCTCCCAACCAGGTACTAATATTAGCTATTCTTAATGTGTTCTCTTTCTCCAAAGAGCATACTTAGTATGTTCGGCTGAATTTAGCTGAATGTACTTGGAATGTCATTTGCATCCTTTTCTTTGTACAGGTGAAACTGACATGGGATCGTCCATTGCATGTGAATGGACATAGCAATTTCGGCGGTTACTATGTGTACGTGGAAAAGCTGCTGAATGGCGAGCCTGTGAATCGACGCCGTTCCAAATACGATGTGATCAATGACCTTTCGGTACGTTCTTCATGAGTTTACGCTCTTAAACATCGTGAATAATCGATCGTGTACTATTTTCAGAAACGTTACTGGGAGATCGATAAGTTAGAGCCGAATACGGAATACGCGTTCAGAATGAATGCGTTTAATCGTAATGGAGACGGCGAATACACGGAGACGAAGCGAATAGTCACTGGCGGGATCCGTACGTTTTTGAATTGCTGAGGCCTTGCGAAAGTTATGGCGAACCTAAAGAACTTGTGGTTTCAGCACCACGCCAGCCAGAGATCCTTTCGGTAGTATTACTCGGAGATGAAGCGCCCTTGAGAGCTCGAGTTGAATGGAAAAGACCTCAACTTGCACCTCTTGAGAGTCCTATTGATAGGTAGGATTATTTTACATTTGTTCAGTCATTTCATTTTGAAGCTTTCTTTCCGATTTTCAAGCAACTGTGCATTGCAACATTTTTTTTCTGGTAGTTGTGTCGGCTTCAGGTTGATAGGGAAGAACTTAGAAACGGTCTCATTTTGTGTTGCCCACTCTGGTACTGAAAAAGAAGTACACGATTCCCACACGATCAGCGACACCACTTTCAGAAACGTTTCATGTTTCGAATTTTTTTTGTCCAATTCTGAGCTCATTTCTCTATCATATCCAGTAGTAAGTTCGTAA